CCCGTGATAAGGCGCGCGGGGCTGTGAGGTAATGGCTCCTGGAAAAGCAGGGCTGGGCCCGCCTTCGGGCACACTCCCAGTCAATCCCTGCGCACAAACTGGGGGCCATCGGAGCCGCCGCGCTGCCGCATGGTCAGTAGAGCTAACAGAGGACAGCTAATGTGCACACAGTCGGTTACGCATCACGGAGGATGTGGGTTTGGGGTGTTTTCAGGAGGTTTGAGAGCTCTGCTGTCTGTAAATGTGTCCTCCTGAGGGCTGCGTAGCTCCTCCTTTGGGCTGGGGCAGATGCAGCTGCCTGCGGAGAAGGTGGTTTCAAACAGGATCCATCCGCCGTGAGCTGGAAATCCGGCTGAGGGAGCCAGAAATGAAGGAGACCCTTGAATCAGTATTTGGGGATTGCTGTACACGTACGACTCCATCCCCACACAGCACTGTTGTTCCCGATACTGTATTTAATACAAGTCCAGCAAGCCCAGTGGTGACTGTGGCATCCTGGGACAGGGTTGTGATAGAAACTTCCCAGCCATTAAAAAGAACAAGGGCATAAAACTACACAAAAGTTTATGAATAAAATACTATGTTTAATTGGCACCTTGTGAAATATCATTAGAATAATATTTTCATTATTAATTCTATTATTTATTTATTTTTGTACTCTGTATCTGACACGCGGATAATTTGTTGGCAAATTTTTGGTGTACCTAGAAAGCCCCAGTTCTGGGATGGTGGTGAGTGTATCTGGTACTCTTGCGTGTTATATGCAGACAAGTCAGTAGGTAGCAGTTTACGCTGTGTTTTTCCAGGCTCCTGCCCTGTGAATTGAGCAAGTATGAGGCTTGGAGAAGGATTTAGATGACACTACAGGTAGGACAGTACGTGCAGGTAGGACACCTGTTTTGGGAATAGTCTAGAAATGAGACATGTTCATGTCAGCTCTCCCCTGCTCGTTTTCCATCCGTCTTTCTGCTGCTGCCAAAAGGTTGATGGAGGCTGAGCAAGCTTAGGCATTGTGCTATTCTCCTAATTCTCTCTAGCCGAAGATTTCAAGGCTCCTTTCTCCTTGTAATATGCTTCCTAACAGAACCAGGTTCTTGACAATACAGTTGTCTCTAAATCTGTGTGTCAGAGAGACCTTCATTCGTGCCACACGGTGCAGGAGGCTGTAGTCACAAGCTATATTTGCATCCTGCTTGGAAGCAGTGACTTGTACATGCATTTCTCTGGGTATATTGTTTGGTGGATGAGCTATTGAATTGACAAACCAATTAGCCCATTTTCAACATGTACTTTTGCTGGGAGTGCTTTTAACTCCCAGCCCGGGTAGCATTGCCAATGCACAGCACACTGAGTTGTTCGATGTTCTTTACGGGTAAAGGCTTGGCTTCCTAATTATAACACATAATTAAACAGTTTTATATCAGTTTGGGTAGCTCCGTGAAGCTCTGTTTTCCTTAGTAATATTTAATAGTCTCAGAGTTGATTTTTCCTGTGTTTATCTTTCTATGATATTGGCAAAAAGGCAGCTGGAAAACTAGCCAGGCCGTAGGAATTCCAGTAAAAACTGCAGTGAGAGGGACTCATTAGCACCCGCTTTCATCTGGGATAATGTTGGGTCATAGAGTTAGAGGTCATGAAGGAAATAGTGATGAATATACAACTGATGTCTGTTCTAACACGCCAGAAGGTTGAAACAGCCAGTTCAGCCTGGGAGTTGGGCCTGGGTTGGGGTATTGAGCCAAGAGGCTGACTGGGAAGGGAGGGAAGTGGCTCCCAGGTCCCTGTGCTGTTGGCTCCAGAAGCAGCAGGTTCGTAACCTCAACAGGAGCAGTGGGGCCCAACACACCCACAGCCCTCACAAAAATTAAGGATATTTAAAGTGTAGCTATTTTCCCCTGGCTTTGTAGCTGGAAAGTCATTACGCGTGGATTTATTTTTCCTTATCTCTTGGATTATCATCTGCTTCTTTCCTTCCTGGATAGCTTTATGCAGAGTTGTGATTGCAGTTCCTTGTTTCTATCACCTCCTTTCTGTGTGGATTAAGATTTTGAGCTTAACATAATTGAGCTGAGTCTTTTGCAACAATTGATGGGGAAGTTCATTTTCCAGAGATCAGTGAGTTGGTTACAGTGAGTCTTTTTGCATTGTACTCGCCTTGGCTCTTTGCTCTCTTGGCTACAGACTTGTGTTTTTTTCATTCGTCTTTGTGCTTTATTTCATTTTTGCAACCGAGACACATTAATCTGACTTTGGAGAGAGGAAACGGGCAACATTTTAGATTTTAAGATCCTTACACAGAAATTCAGACATCTGGTCATTGATAAATCCAGTGTGCAGACAGGATCATGAGAGTCTTAGAAAGTAACAATTTAAAATGCCAGTGCACCAAATACCTCTTTAGTTCTTGCTTTGGATTTGGGTTGGAATTTGGTTTTATGGTATTAACCATTTCTAGACTCATGTAAAGAGTGCACAGTGAACAGGAAAGATATATCTTTAAGGAAAAGAGTTTTACGTGATTTTAAAATAGAAAAGTTCAGTAAGTTGCACAAGACCACGGTCACCAACCTGCTGCAAGAGCTTTACCTTAGCTCCATGAGGTCACTGTCTTCAGAAGCTAAAAATGTACTTCCCAAGGTGAGTTTGATAAGCTAGAGGAACAATTTTCTTTGAGAAAATTAATAAGATTTTTCCTGAAACATCTTCAGTTTTATTATGAAAGCCAGTTGTATTTGAGTGTGTGTTAACTGGCTGAGATACACCCTATACCAGTTTTAAAACATTCATATATTCAAGATTCACGTGCCTGTAGACTTATCCCAGAAGCAGGAATCCTGTATGAGTCATATAATGCTATTTTGTTTGGGTCTGTTTATAGATACTGTTATTTAACACTAGGAGGATTTTTTCCTACTTATTTAGGCAAGGCACTTTATAAAGCAGGTATCAGCATGTGTCTTATCAGCAGCTTTCCATCAGTGACGATATGTGATATAGAGCAGTTTGGGTTGTTTCATCTGAAATCTGCATCTATGCGCTGCTAAAGTTAATCCATTTTTGAAGAATAGCCCTTTTAAAAGTTGCATAGACGAACCTTGACCAACGCTTGCCTATAGAGAGGAATATGATAAATTGCTTTAAATATTAAATACAAGTTGATGTGATTAATTTTTAATGGTGGCAATGAAAAACAGATTTTGCTTGTGTTCCTTGGCCCTTTCAAAAGCTTCACTTTTCCAAAAACATTTTTTTTTTTCCTTTTTATGTGTGTGTGGCACAGGATGTGAGTAAGTTCACAGTAGGTGAGTTCATTAGCTGGCATTTGTGGCATAATATCCAGCTGTGGAAGGCTTATGCGTGTTGGTATTTAGGTCATCTTAATTAGGCCCAAAAATGAAGATTTAAGATAAAATGGAATAATTGCCCATACTTCAGTGTGGCTGAGGCTCTTCAGCGGAAAGAGGGATCAGATCCCAGGCAGCGGAAACTCCTGGAAGCAGAAACTGCCTCTCCAGCATTCCAGGAAGCGTGCAGGGAGCCGGGCTCGTCACAGCTCCTGATTCCAGGGAAGGTGAAAGATGGGCGGTCGGGAAGGTGAATGCGGACATATTTCTGCCCCCCGATGAATACAGGACAGTCTTCAAACCCAACTCGACCCAACCATCAGCAGAAATGTTGAGAGCCATGAGTAACTTTGAGGAACGTGTTGGAAGGGAGTCACGATAGCAGTTGGAATATGCATCTAGAGGGGTACAAGTGCACTGCAGCATTTAGGTAAATGTGATGTTATTAGCCCGATATATTTGAGGTTGGAGTGTTGTTAATCTCTCTTTGACCAATGAGGGTTTTTTTCTTTTTTTTTTTTGCATTCTAACACCACAAGAAGTGGTGTGCTATCAAGCCAGTAGAAGAAGCGTGCTATTAAGACAATAACATTTAATAAGAGCTATTAAAAAGCAGTAGATGACATTTACCACATCAAGGGGTGCTGGTAGCTGATGCCTCCCACCTTTATTTATGGACATATGGAACTGGAAATGAAAGGGAGCTCTTCTTGCTTTGCATTTCTCCCTAGAAAAACGTCTGTCTGTGCAGTGACCATCGGTGGAGCGCAGGAGACCAATGGCTGGTGTCATCTTTGTCTGCAGCAGCAAGTTCAGACCACCCTAAAATGCAGATTTCCTCATCACTAGTAGTATTTTGAAGGTGCATGGCATCTAGGGCCAGATCCTCAAAAATGTGAATGTAGACAAGTTTAAAGGGGAGGCAGGCCTGTATATTTTCCTAAGAGGATTGTGCTTCACATTTAATTGTTCTGTAAATTGATAGGGGACTTTTTTTGGTGATTTTTAGGGGACTTTTTTTGGTGATGTTTTTCTGAGTACTCAAAAACCCATGTACACATTTAGTCAGTCTTGAAATGTGTTGTCTGAGGGTTAGTGATACCAAGCTGGTGTTTGATCTAGTAGTAAAATGAGTCACTGAACCTCAGGGTTGTTTTGAATTGAAAACTTTTCAATAAAACTTTTCAATAATCTGATTTCTAGCCTGGCTCCAGGAGCTCCTGACCTGGAGCTTCTTCCCTGCCCATTACGACAGTGAGAAATCCCAAAAAAGAAAGGCTAACATTTCCTTTACAACTCCATCCCAGCACAGCGTGCGGAGGGATCTGACACAAGCGGAGAAAATTGGTTTAAAACAGGCAAACTAATCTGTTTTAGCTGCAACTACAGCATTGCACGCTGCAGCACGGCACGTGGGGAGCTGGTGGTGGCTGGGTGGCAAACCCCTGTAAAGAAGGGAAAATTTGGAAACAGAAAAATGAGAAGAAAGAGTTGGGAGTGGAAAGTTGCAATTTACATTTTGATACAGAAGCTTCTATGAAATTCTTTTTGTTTGTTTGTTTTTGTTTTTGTTTTTTTGTAAGCTTTACTAAATAACAGCTCTGAGTACTTTCTTACTCTAACCAAGGGTGCTCTTGTGTTTTGTTTTGTCTGCAGGCGCCGGCTGATCTCCCAGCGATCTTCTCTGGAGACCCTGGAGGACATTGAGGAAAATGCCCCGCTGCGGAGGTCATTGTATTTGCTGTCTCTCTGCTTCCTTAACTGTAGGGCATAAGCTTGGATAGACTTGCTATCCTTGCCCTCATTGAAATACCCGTCATCCAGGAGGCAACAGCTTCTCTGGGCACCATAGGAATTAGTCCCTGGGCATCATGAGGGGCAAGGGAAGATAGAGCAAGTGTTTAACAGCTCCAGCATGTCCAGCATCAGTGACACGGCTGGCACATGGTTGCCGCCAGCTCAGCTGTCTGGCCAGGCAGGAGCTTCATTTCCAATGATGTCCCTTGATCTTGGGACCTCTAATTGAGCTGGTTTATAGCAGTATTTAGCCTATAGCCCTGTTTATGCACACTCACTTTGGTCTCTCCTTACCTGGAAGCACAGACTTCATAGCAGAGCCTCTACCCACCGGCCTGTTGCCAAAACTTGATGATTTTTACCCAGCCACTGTGGTACACTGACCAGTGTGTTACAAACCATTCCCACAAATGATTCAAACATATAGAATTTGCAAAAGATACAGCCAGAATCTGGTTAGCAAGGCATTAACTTACTTGCTAGTTCACAGAAATGTTGGTAGTATCACTCCCGTGGTGGTATATTCCCATGAAGAAGGAAATGAGTAATTGTAACCCTAGGATGAGGTAACTGTGAGGATTTTGCCATCGAGAAGAAAACCAATAGTAAATACATAGTAAAAAAAATGAAAGTAAAAAATAGTCAGGTAAAGTGAAATACAGAACATTACCACAGTTTGCCCCCAGAGTTGATAGCTGGCAGTGGCCAAGATAGCCCTGGCTGTGAACTCTGGACTCCAGAAGCCAGGTTGAACTCCCTGGGCTCACCCTTCAGTTCCTCTGCTGCGGAGTTCAAGTGTAAAATAGAGCTAAGGATCAATGTTTAGAAGAGAGATTTTTCCTGGGTTAGCTTGTTTTTCTGTTGGTTAATATGCTGTCAGGAACATCAAAGAGCTGAAAGTAAATGGGGATCGCCTTTGTAAATGGAAGATTATAGTTTTTCTAAAATGAAAACAAGAAAGAACATTTCTCAATAACTCCCCTAGCAAAAGCTGAGGAGGATACAAAAGTGCCTGTGATGGTATGGGGAGGAAGACTTGCATGAAGATTTACTAGGTTCCATTTCATTATTTTTCCTCTGAAAGCAAAATCTAAGCTATCACAGCAGATTACAGGAAGTTTTATTTTGCTGAGATTTTTATAACTTTTTTATCGTGAAGGGAGGGTGCTGGCACTTTCTCTTATTAATTTAAATATTTTTATTATTTGAGCTGTCACCTTTCCAGACTTATTGTCTTCATTGTTGTTGCTGATTCCTAAACGAGGGTGACTTGAATAATTTGTCTGGTCCTTCCTTCCTGCCTTTGTGTAGACTTCGCCGCAGTGCAGCAGGGAACTGAATGCGCTTCTTTTTTTTTGTCTTTTCCCTCCTTTCCCCCCAACCGATTTATTTTTCAGATGTCGGACTCTCTCAGGATCCCCCAGACCAAAGAACTTCAAGAAGGTTCATTTCATCAAGAACATGAGGCAACACGACACCAGGAACGGCAGGTACTGTGCATGCAAAGGCTACTGCTCCAAAGGCAATTCCTGGGGCAGGGGGGAAAAGGAAGGTTCAATATTCCTGCGAAACAGCACAGGGGCCCCTTGCAAATTGCCTAATGCCCAGGCAATAGCAGCCATTAATGAGTCTCCCAGCGTGGGGGCTGTAGTGCACACTCCTTGCTCAAGTAAATTATTAATCCTAGTGGGAATTGCCCACCAGGAGATTTTTAAGGTCGGTGTCTTTGTAACACAAGTGTAACACAAGTGCAAAAAGAAAACGAGTGGTGCCATCAGGCAGGGCTCTGGCTGTGTTTCTGGGAGGACAGAGCCAGAGGGTAAGTGTTAGATGGGGCACGTGGCTCAACCTGCCTGGGTGACAGGACCAGCCGGTTCGTGGGCTACCAGACTGCAGGTGTAGGCCCCGTGGACCTATATATCTAGCAGCAGACAACAGGGACCTTCCACACCACATGGCCCATCCTGCTCTTCCCATCAATGTATAGCTTCGTAATTCCATTACCACTAAGCTCTAATGTGAAGCTAGCTCCCCCCTGGCAAGAAGGGTGACACCCATCCTCTGTATTTTTCCCAAGGTGATCTCTCTGTGTGTTTTATTTTATGCCTGTCCTTCCAAACCTGACCATGAGGACAGCAAGCAGACCCAGCTGTGCACGGAGTGCCAGCCCTTGCACACCCCTGTACGTACATACGTACCCATGCGACGGTGCATGTTGCACATGGCTGGTGGTTTTTCACCAAATGTGCGACCCTGTTACAGCATTTTGCATATAATACTGCACAACTGTTGTATGAATTGAATGTGGCACTTGGCTAGAGAACACTTTTCCCGTGGTTAGTGTCATATCTACAAATGCAGCAAGCAGGATTAATCAACATAAGCATTCTAGAACGTGGCTCTGAGAGGTGGTAGACACCACTCCAAGAGGTTTTAGACACCACTTTTGTTGCAGACAGATGCATGCAAAACCATTAACTGTTATCTAATGGCTTGTTATTATCTCAACAAATTTATGTGGAATCAAACTCTAAAAAGCAGACCCCTAATTTTTGTCTGTTCTGTGCATAACATATATACATGTGCCCTGGGAATTTCTTACACGGGAAAATATTTATTCATAAAGTATTACGCAAATTCCACAAAGACTACTAATTTCTGAGATGTGCGTATAAAATATATGCATAAATGTGATAAAAATATTACCTATAAAAATGAATAAGTGGTTCATGAATAGTCTACAAAATAAGACTTTTTTCCTCCATTTGCTGCAAAAATATATCTCTAAAATACACACAGCATTTTATCTGGGTTTATATATCAGTAATTATGTTTGATAAGAAAACAGAATATTTTTCTCGTTAAGAAGGCAGTGAGTAAGCTTCTATTATTCAGCTAGCTTATCTATATCAGCACGCACAGTTTTGCAGGTTATTTCCATAATCATAATAAAGATCCATTTATCTAGAGCACAGATACAATAAGAGTAAGATGCATTGTTTTTGAAATGCTTTTCATCCTATGGACAAAGAGTCCCAGAGACGTTAGCTAAAAATAAAATGTAAAGTCAACACATTGTGTCCGCTGAGGGCCAGCCGAATTGAGCAGTAAGCAAGTGAAGTAGTACCCTGGTTTTCCAGGAGTCTGTGCACCTCTGCCCCCAGTGAAACTAATGGCCATGCTAGATAAAACGGGGCCCTGAAAATTCAGGTGAAGCTGTTTTAAGGATTTGGCCTAAAGTGAGCAGAGGTTTTGAGTGCTTTGATACCTTCACTGCTCGTGTCCTCCCCAGATTGGCCATGGTTAAAGTAATAGTTGGCCGAGGAGTAGTTCAGCATGGGGAGAAACCACCTCTGCTGACCACAGTGTGCTTCCTTGTTAGCTTCGTGTTGATAGTTTTATGTGCTGGTTAAACCAGTATCTTTGGATCTGTGGGCCGTGGTTCATTATGGAAGACCAGGTTTCCTGGGCTGTGTTACCAAAGCAGTCTTGTAAAACAGGACAATGTAATTTGCCCATTAAGAAGCAGAACGATGCCAACCCTAGGAGACAAATCTGCAAATGTAGCTGGTGGCGTGTGGTTTCACCCAGTGAAACCTGGCCCCTCTACTCAGCAGGTTTTGTGGTGGTGTCGTTCATCAACCGTCAAAGCAGACTTCCTATCTAGCAGAAGAGGCCACCAAATAGCACAGCGAGCCAGCTGAACAAACACTCCGGGGTGAGAATGTGACAAGATCATTTCCAGAATCATCCCATAGAGCAGGTAGAAAAGCAGTAAAACAATAGCACTTCCCCCACCCTATTGCTTTTTCAAGTTTTATTAGCGTGCATTCTGCCAGGTACCCTTTGGCCAAAACCAGGCAGAAGCCATAGGCTGCACACGGGCATGCTGGAAAAGTAGATGCACGAGCTGTTTGCTGCCCTCGCAATCGTGGGCACGGGCACACACGCCGGCACGCACCAAGGCTGAGTATGTGCAGTGTCCCCAGGGTCTGTAACTACTCTCAGCCACTTCCAAATAGCCCCAGCTTGGGAGACTCCAAAGGGACGTGCCTTGTGTGTGTACTTTGTGCATGTGGGAGCAAAGCCCCCATAGTCAAACTTAATGAATCAGATATAAGAAAGGGGGTGACGATGTTGAGGGTGTATAGAGTGTGGATAGTGTATGTCACAGTGCGTGATTACAGAAAGTCCCTTTAGTCAGGAGATACGGATTGTGCCGAGAGCTTTGTGCTCAGCAAAAATGCGTAGTTTTTGTAGTTTTATAGCACACATCTCCTTAAATAAGTTGGAAGATTTGCTTTAAATGCTCTCAGACCACTGCACACGATGGTTGCTCTGAAGTAACACCTTTTTGGTGAAATGTGAGAACGGAAGAACAAAACCCTACTATGTGGTAATTTTAAACATGGCACAGGGGCAACTGGGGCATGTAAATCCACTCCATCCTGGGCTACTTCTGCTGAGAGCTGATTTGGAGCTGTGCAGTGTCTTAGGTGCTCTTTGCTGAAAAGTGAAAATCCAAGAAAGTGTTTTTCTCTCAGAAGCGACAGCCGCTTCCACCATACCTTCCTTCTCAAAGCAAACTTCAAGCAAGTTTCTGGGCCTTTTGCACCAACGATACCACTGTGTTCTGTGAACTTCTAAATCAAATGTTGTTTTGTACCTCCACGCTCAGCTTCTAAACAGTTACCATGGGCCAGCTCCGGTCTTCTCTTTTCCTAGGGACCCAAAGTTGATTGTTTCCCTTTTTGGACCAGGTGATTGAGATTGAGGCTGTTTCTGGCCTCATAAAAGGTCAGCCTGTGTTTGGCTGCTTTTTATATGGGGCCTGGAGGTGCCAGTGTTGGGTGTCCTTGAGCTGAGCTGAGTTTTGGGGTGCTGCAGAGCTGTGCGGTGTCGCTGCTCTGTGTTTCTCAGCTTTGCTCATGCTCCCGGGCTGCACACCCTGCTTGGGAGAACCTTGTGCCCCATGGCTTCTGGCAGTGCACATGTGGTGTTTGGGTCCTAACGAAAAAGAATCCAAGCTGATGCCTTTCATTTCCCAGCTGATCCAATCCCCTTTAATACAGCAACATTTCCATGGAAGATTCGCAGTGCTGCCCCTGCTTGTGGATGTGGAAAGCATCGGTGTTTATTTAAACAGTAAGAGGATATCTTTTTAGTAAGGCACTGGAGATGGAGAAGCTGTATTTCCAGAAGCAGCTAGAGGAAATGGGGAGGATATGCCTGGTGGGAACTGTGGTTTTCCGAGCTCAAAGATGCTTTCTGATGTCAGCCCCACCATCTGTGCCAAGTTTCATACATCAGCAAACAAGGCTTTCAGGGAACAAGAAAGCTGTTGTGAGTAATAAACATTCAGCAATAATAAGCTATGGCAAGCACAGAATTAATCCTATTCCAGGTTTTCTTGCTTGTTGTCTGTCTTGCCCAAATTTGTAAAACGATTTCACTGTCCTTTGCAACTTACTACTGCAGCATGACAGCATCTTACGGCTCAGGAGATGCTTACCATAGGTAAAGGGTGTTATGGCATCCAAACAAACAGTGAGGTCCTATGATTTGTGCTGTAGGAGAACTTTCTAATGCCATATACTTGTTTGTTATTAGACACCATCCTTTTTCACAAAGAGAACGGCACTTTGCTCTTAAATATGCTTTTAAAGAAGAAAATGAAATTGCTGTAGTGGGACAATCCAGAAGAAGGAAGGTTGATTGTCTTTCATTTTCCCAAATAGCTGAATGCAGCAGTTCTCTTGGTGACATAAACGTTTTATTTGATTTCCAAGAATAACGACTGAGTTAGTCCCATAAGAAAACAATGCTTTAAAAACAGCATGATGGGTACAAGACTCACAGGTGCATCTGCTGATATTCAGACAGCACAGAATAAAATAGCTTGCTAGGGTTTGTCATGCAGCTTTGATGAGCGTGAGGCAACGGGCAAATATTGGGATGAAATCCTGGCCCCTTGCTGGTCTGTGGCAAACAGCATCAATGTTGGAGAGCAGAGCAGGAAAATGAAAGAACCCTGAAGAAGAAACAATCAATAATACTATTTTGGACCATAAATGGAGCTTTTTAGTATCAGCATAAGGAAATCCTAGTGCTAGTCAGGTTGGAAGTACACAGGCTGCCCTCTTCATGTGTTAGGAGAACATGCTGGGGTACAGACTGTTGACCAGTTTGGGGCAGAAGAAGGGGCTTTTCCTTGTACAGTTACACAACAGGCAGTGTCCTGAACCTACAGAGGAAAGAGGCTGTATTTATAAACAATTATTTATCAGTGTTATATACCCATATCTGCAGGTGAAGTTTCGCTTGGCACCTTGCCCATCTGGTTCTCCCCAGACCTTAGTTATGTAGCCAATGGCAGTTCACGTGGGTTTATGGAAAGCGAGTCTTGACCTCAAAGTAGTTTTGATGTTGTTTACTGATACGTCAGAGCTTGGTGGCAAAAAGTAGCAGTGTGGATGTGAAACGAGTAACAGCCTTCAGTAGGCTACGGTGCTCAATTGAATGCCACATAGAGACTGCAAGATGATGCCAAGATTTGGAAATTGGTTGAAAAACACCAGGCATTTGCTGTAAGAGTTGAGTGGTTCCTGAGATAAGCTCTGTGCTGTCTGGGCTGTGTGCTGACATTAAAGGTGAGGCCAAAGCTTTCATGATGCTGGATTCTGTCATCTGTGCAGCTGCCACATCCAGTGATAGACCCTGAAGAAGGATGGGTTGCTTTGGTTTAGACGTAGTGGTCATCCATCAGAAGAGCTGCTTGGCCCTCCTGACCGGGTCTCTTTCACTAGGACTTTCAGAAAAAAAAAATCCAGTCTGAATTACGAGTAAAATGTATTCAATATATTCCGTGTAGAAAGCCTGAACAGGGGATGGCACCCTGCAACTCGCTCGCTGGCTGATCCACGGCACAGCCCTCGGCACTGCACTGAGCATTTGGTTGCATCGTACCTTATCTGTGAGATGAAAGCCGTCACGCATTAAAAAGGAGAGAAATTGTCAGTGGGAGAAGTTTGTGATTACTAATTCCTTGATGATAACATCTGTTGCTTTGCATATTGTGGTGGGATTTTTAAATTTTAGTCTTTGATTTTTTTTTTATTTTCTTTTATATTTTAGAATAGTCCTTATCAGCAGCAGAAGATCCTTCTGTAGCATATTTTCAGTGCTGCCATATCGAGACTGTACCCAAGTCGGGTATGTATATTTATACACATACTACATAGTCTGGGTAAGCATATAGAACCGAGTATGGACAACACTGTGACCAAGGCTGATGCTTTTAAATATCTGCTCTGAGAAAAGAGAAATGCACCTAGAAATGTTTGCCTTGTGGAACATGACCAGGTTAAAACTACAGTTTTGAGTCCTCAATATATTTATTTGGTGTTCTTGTATCTTAAATTATTAAATTGGAGAAGCTCCACCGTCGATGTTCTGTATGTTGTGTATGTTCTATAACGTTATTGTTCTTTTAGCCAGCGCTCAGATCATTGAGTAAAAGACCTTGGGTTCAGCTGGGAAACGCTGTCTTGCAGCCCAGCTTGCTGCAGGGTTCAGGGGCGCAGGGCGAGTGAAGACACGGCAGTGTCACCTCAGCCCTGGGGCACAGGACTCGGTGGCCACCTTGGCTGCCCACGAGCTCGCCCAGCCACCAAGGAGCTGTGAATTGCCTGTGGTTGGTTTGGGCTCAGCCCCTGCAGGGAAAGGCAGCAAAGCAGCATCTGGAGCAGCTGTGTTTGCAAAATCTGGGGCTAGTGCTCAGCTGGTAGGATGGGGTGGGTTTGAGTAAGACCCATGAATGGGTCTTACTTGAAGACCCAAGTCAAACTGACCCAGTGCAAAAAGGGTGAATTTGTGTCACTGTTTTCAGACATTTATTTAATTCTGGAGAATTATTTGCCACAAGCAGCTCATGCATCAGTAATTCAAAGCAAGAGAGATGATTTTTAATGTGCAAAGGAAGGAGGTATCTCATGGGAAAGTTGGCTTGCTCTTCTGTCTCCTACAGTATTTTTTTTTCCTTTAATTAAATGGGGAGGACATATCAGGCAAATTTTTGACAGGCTGTCAGCTTTGTTCTTTCTTCTTTGGTGCATCGCCATTCGTTTATGGTCGCTGCCCTCTGGAAATTGCCACTTCATGGAAAATTGAATGTATCCTGTAAGGCTGATGGCTGGTTATATCTTCTGAGTTATGCCAGTAATGAGCTCAGCAGCAAACCTAAATATTGTTTCAACATGTAATGGCTTGCATTACAAGAAGGCACGGGATGAGAAGGTAGAAAGTGCCAGTACACAGCAACCAGCCCCATTCCAGATGTTAAAAAGCCAAGATTTTAGAAATACCCTTCATCTTTCTTACTGTCTGATGTAAATGTTTTAGCCTATCATAGAATCATTCAACCATTAGGATTGGAAAGGACCTTCAAGATCAAGTCCAACCATAAACCCATCACCACCAGGCCTGCTAAACACGTTCCCAAGTGCCTCATCTACATGTTTCTTGAACAGTGCCAAGGACAGGGATGCCACCAATGGTGCAACCCGAGGCAGTTTCCTATTTCCTGTCCATAGTTATTCTGGAGAAGAGATCGACCCCAGCCTCACTACGACCTCCTTTCAGGCAGCTGTAAGGAGCAATGAGGTCTCCCCTGAGTGTCCCAACCTTCTCCAGACTAACTAAGCCCGGCTCCCTCAGCCGCTGCCGTAGGGTCTGCGCTCCAGCCCCTGCCCCAGCTCTGCTGCCCACGTCTGGACTCGCTCCAGCCCCTCAATGTCCTTCCTGCAGTGAGGGGTCCAAAGCTGAGCACAGGATTCGAGGTGCGGCCTCACCAGCGCCAGGAGCGGCGGATAGTACTATAATACCTCAGTGCAAGAGGGAAGGGGAGAATGAACAACTAGATGCACAGGATTTTGAGATGCTCTTATCGTTGGCTGAAATCACTGGAAAGTATTTCTGTGGATCTAGGCCAAAATTTCTGTTCTGCAGGATTGGGTACATTAAGATTGCCTACATCCTTGCTCGTGGCGTGATGGCAGATGCAGCTTCCCCTGTCTCTGTGGCCAAGAGTAGGGTTATGGGCAGGACCAGAGCTTCCTTTTTACTCCCACATCTAGATCACCAGAGTAGCTGTAAGAGCAGATGTATCCAGATGAAAACAATTTAAGGAAGATTGTACTGCAAGGTCACCTGTAGCACCTTCAGGATTCAGCTACACTGATCGTATTGGCAAACTGCTGAGGATTGATGGCTTTGGTTTGGTTTAAACGAAATACAAAGTTACTGCATGATGCACAGTTTAGTGTTCAGGCAGTACAAGGGCTGTCATGGGCTAGTGGTACTGCAGAATCAGTCTAGCATTTGTTAACTCTTCTTTTAATTTACTACAAGTATTCTTTGTGGCTACACGGATATTTGTGATCTGGATTTTTCCACTGAACAAAGCCTTGTTTACCTGTGAGGCACATACTGCTACAACACAGAGGTTTTGTAGTACCATTTGCAAATGAAACACATACAACAGGAAATGCAACCAAGACCACTGCACCTTATGCTTGTGCTTTATAAGAATTGTTTCTCCACTCCTTTCTCACCATTCCCTGATATTATGCTATATAGGCATGTTGGCACTGCAGTATTCTTTCATAACACTTACAAATTGTAAGCGTTGTGCATAATATTATGCTAATACTCTTCTTTTGAGTTCTTCTCTGTCACTGAAATACAGTCCTTCAGGAGCTAGGAGAGCTACTTTGCAGTGAGTGTTGGAACTGGATTGCTGGTGCAGCATCCGCTGGACTCTCCCTAGGAGCAGATGAGAAGCAGTTCCCATCTCCTCCTGCCCATCAGCAGAGCCAGGGCAGCGATGGCTCTTCTCAGAGGTACCCCTTGCGTCTCTCCTGAGCCGCCGTGTCCAAGGGCTCCCTTGCCAAAGGGCACCTGGCGGTGGGCAAAGCCCGCAGCAAATGGAGCTGGGCTCCAAATGGAGCTGATCCTCGGAGCCGCCGCTGCTCCAGAGCAGCAGGAAATGCCCCAGGGCGCTCTGAGAATCATCTAGTTTTCATTAGTATTTTAAGATACCTAGAAGTTTTCTGAAAAGGAGAGGATAATGTAGGTTAGCAGTGTTAAAAGGGAGGAAAAGGTTATGTCTTTTCCCCAGGCAAAAAAGGTAGGGAAGTTGGTTGGTTTTGCAGTTTTCTTCGTTTCTTTTCTTTGATAGACATGGTTCTGCTTCTTAATTGAAAAACAGCATTTTAAAAACATTTTTTGTTGTTGTTTATTTGTTTTTGTATTAATAGCAAACATTGAGCATTTATTCTTATTCACAGATTGAAAATGTAACTGTTACGGTTTTATATTATTTTGTGATGTTCCATGAAACAGTTACGAGCTTCCAAGGTTCTATAAAGGAGATTAATCTAAAAGACTAGAGGAAGGAGCAGAGCCAATGGTGTCACATAGATGTGACACTGGAACACATTTAGCTTTTGGATTCAACTGTCAGTCACTGGAGCAGAAGTGGATGAGTGTCCCTGGGGCTGGAGGCAGTGTGTGAAAGTGGGAAAATCCAGAGCATTGAATAGGAGAATCTAGAGCATTGAATAGTGCATGTCCTTATATAACTGGCCAGGCTCACCTTATGTTTTATTTTTCATGGCATTGAATTCATTTAAGCGGTTAGAAACTTGCCTGCAGTAAGTGTAGCTGCTGAGGATTGCTCGCTGACGTGAACACAGGAACTTATCTTACTCAACTTGCTGGTAGTTGAAGGCAAGTAACTGCAAGGATCAAAGTATGGGCAATCGATCATTCTTCTGCAGTAAAGCATTTATATAATAAGCAGTTATAAAGCAGTTATGTAAAAAGGATTTGTGTTCTTTTCTGAAGTACTGCACACGAGGTTCAGCCAGCTTTTACAGCCAAATCCTCACTGAAATAAACTTTGCCCATTGAAGTGCTTGGTGGAAGCACCAAGGAGCTGAGTGGTGGTGAGAAGGAAGTGTTTTTGGTGCTGTCGTGCCAGGTAACAGGTAACTGCAGTGCCCGGGGGCCCAGCAGGCCAGGCCCTGGCACAGGCTGCAAAATGGGGCAAAACGAGACCATTCGGTGAGTTGGACCCACCACGGCCAGTGAGTCTGGCCGGTCAGGTAAGAGGTGATACTGTGAGTGTAGAAAATGGGAAACATTTAAAGGAGAAATGAGAGCATCACAGTTGCCCTTTGGATTGTACAAAAGGGGCACACAGCAAAGCAGGACACTGTTCTGACTTGCTACCAAGTTTCTTGCTATTCTCCCCCAGTGGGTTTTTGTATGCAAGGCAACTTTAAGTCGTCAATCTCAAACACATTTCCTGAGCATTTATCATTCCAGAGACTTTGGGAGGAATAACTAGCTATTTTTAGCCTATAACAGGGAGGCTGTAATGTCCCTGCTTTTTTTACTATTGCCCACATTCCTTGCTTCCACCCAGTATCCTTCTCTCTCCCAAACAGCACAAAAAGCATAAACAAGTGCATATTGGCTTTACAGAAAGATAGATAAATCCAGATTATTCTCATGCAACAGGGCATTTCAAACTAAATAATCTCGTGTATAAATTTTACGGAACCAGCATTGCTCACTCTCTCGTGAGGTTCATGAAGGTAATACCTTTTAAATTTGAGCTTTTTCTCCATGTTGGACAAAACATCAAAACAAGAGCTGACATCTTGATACCTGAATAGAGGGAGAGGAAAAGGATACGGGCCCATTAGAGGAACCTTTCCGCCAGTTTCTCCACCTCCTTTCCCTGTAAATTGCAGATAGAGTTGTTGTTCTAACCATCTTGGTGGCAATTAGGGTCTGAAAACAAAGATCAATTAAAGCAGGCAGCCTTAATCGGTATTGCCAGTGGGAGAAATGCTTTGGGCTGGCTGGCAGCACGTCCCTTCCAAGGCTCTCGTTTTCCTTGTCCCCATAAACAGAGAGAACAAGTAAAAATTATTTGCAGTAAAGAATAAGGACAGAATTTTCTCTTGATGTCTCATGAGTTGCCTTAATAGTTAGGAATCACTAAGCATAAAATACAGTCACAAAAGATCACATCTTTAAATAACAGTTATCAGATCCTTTTTGCAATAAGCTGAAAGTGTTTTTTTTTATGTGTCTAGAAATCCATTTAATATTTAATTGACTCCTAAATTATTCACAGGTTAAAGTGTTCCACTGTTGCTGTCATTTAAAGAGCAAGGGCCCAGCAGGAATCTTGCATGAGGCTTTATAGATCTTGCCAAAGCATACGTTTGGTTCATTAAAGAAATGTTACACTTCCAAAGCTAATAATATCCAATTTATATTCTGTTAATCCGTGCTTGACTAATAAAAAGCTCAGGGTGATATATCCTGTTTTTTATTCTTGTTTATTCAGTACTCCAGGTAAAGGTAGAATTCAGGAAAAATAGTCATTAGTCAACAGTGAATTTGCATTCACAAAGTTAATGCAGTTCTTGTTCCAGAACAATTTGGGGATAAACTTTTTTGTTGTTGTTTTCTTCAGTCTCAGGTAACTGAAATGATAGGCTTGGTTCTGAGTGTGGTTTTTGGCACCTCTCAGCAGCATGCCTTGTGGAAACGAGATGCACAAAAAGAATGTCTAGGGTTTGACATGCATGTGAACCAAGGCAACTCCCCAAAGTCTGTAGGGAAATGGGTTCTATTTTTTTGGTCTCCCAAGGAAATGTCATTCTGATCTTGTTGTTTCCTTAAGCTTTCCTTGCTCAGATAAATTGCAGTTTGCTAAATTAAGCACCCATGATTTATTTTAGTTTTTTGGCATCTTCTCAAATCCTCCCTCCCCTTTATTTTTTAGTGCTTTTGGAAAATAAAATTGAGGAAAATCAAATTGAGGAAAAGAAGTAAATTTTCTTTGCTAAAAGTCCTCTTTGACAAGGACCGTCTTTTCTGCTGGGTGTTTTGTAAACACCTTGTGTCAATGGATCGTGGCTTATGTAGCCACTTGGTGCTATAGTCATCTGAATTACTTAGAGTTTGACACCTTTTGAAGTTGCCGCCCTCCAGAAGGTCCCTCTTCCATGCAGCCCACTGACCACACAGGAGTTGAGTTTGGGAGTTTCGGAGTCCGGGTCGTGTTTGGGAGATCTGGATGGAGGTGGTTGGCTCTTGGGCAGCCCTTTCTACACTGCCTGTGCCCCCAAAACCACCTCTGACTGACTGATTCCCGGGCATGACTTGCCTGTTGGGTCGATAGCCAAGCCAAGGCATATTCCCACTCCTGCCTAGCTGCTCCAAGAAACCTTTTGGGGTCCCCAAAGTCGCATGAAGAAGGGGCTGCTTTGGGATTCCCGCAGCAGCAGCATTGCAGCTGCTGGCCCTGCACTTCCAGGCAGAGGGGCTCCCTGAGCACCCAGGGGATGCCCTCTTTTCACTTTGCCACCAGTGACAGTTCCCACAACAGCAATCATAACCTGACTTAGCTCACATTCCAGAAAAGGGGAGTCATGATCATGATGATGATGATGGTTTATCTGGCTCGGTCTGCAGATAACCCAAAACAGCTTATCCTAGGCAAAATTCATGAGCTTCTTTGTCTGTCATAGGAGTAGAGGAAAAAAGCAAAGTTTGCCCTGAAAAAGCTTGATTTGCTGCTGATCTTAGGAACAGGCAACACAAAAACAATGAGGTGAAGTAGCTTAGGGATTGCAGATTCACCAGGATCTTTCCCTTGTGCAAGGAGGATCCGTATAAACTAGCATGATCTTTCACACTTACACCCTCGTGAGAAACAGCACGCATGTTTTGTACTGGTTGTCCTCAGGAATGTGCGTTAAATTCTCTCCGTTTTGAGCACAGCAAGTTTCTTCCCAAGCAGTGATACTTCACTGCTGTGTTTCACCACCCGAGCGACCATTTGCTGCCTGCAGATGCTGAGATTTCCTCGTCTTTGCTGAGAACTGCTGGGCTGAGTTGTGCCAGGGTGCCGGCGCCGCCGTGGAGGCGGTAGCAAAGCTCTCTCTCCCCTCATGTCTCCAACTGACTGCATGGAGAGTCGAGTCTCTCCGGGACTTGTTTCCGTAGGCATGGTGCCCTTATTCCTTAGTCTGTGTCTCTAGGATTTTGCAGGGGGGAAGCTAACCTATGCAGATATTATTTCAGATATTTCAGATTTTTGTTTTCATTTTAGGGGCTTTTTCAATGGCATGTTCTGTTTCTTAGTTTAAGACCTACTGAAATAATCAGTATTTTTACTAATCTTATTAGTAATCAGTGTATTATCAGCAGTATATTACTATTATAATAGTATTATGCTTAGTATTTTTGTCCATGAAAAAGAGTTACTTGAAGAATGTTCTGTACAGGAACAGAGAAACTAACCTGATGCTTCTGTAGATGGATGTTTTTACATGATTATTTTTTCAACGTCTTAGTAATTTGCTATCAGGAAACAGAATGATAATGTGACACTCTGCTAAGTGAATTCCAGTCAGGAAAACAAGAGGACATTGTTTGTATTAACCCCCCAATCCAGTATTTTCCTTTGTCACGGGAATATGTTTTCCAGCAGATAGGATGTGTTGGATTTATTTTTTCCAGAAGTAAGATAGATGATTTCTTGGGAACTCCTATAATTCCATTTTTCAGAGAAATAAAATGAATGTCAGGTTTCAAACTGAGGAAAGGGAAATGGGATATGCAAAGATAATGCAGAAGCGGCCAGTCCAGCAATCAAGGGAGGAGTTGGCAGGATGTCTGTGCCTAGGTTTTAGTGTCAGCCTCTCTCTAACATCCATGACACTGGACTTTAGCTAAAAACTTGCAGGCCATAGTCCAGTGAAGCTCTTGAGTTCTTCTTTCTTTCTCTTGAGAAAACTTAAAATTTAAGTAATCTGAACAAATTGAAGTTGTTGTTCCCACTGAAACCAGTTGGTTCACACAAACCTAGAAATGATGCTGGAATGAGGGTAAGCAAGACCTTATTCAAGCAAAGATGATCAAGTATATGCTTAATATATAGCATATGTATGTGCAGGTACAGTGTTTAAGCACACTCTTGGACCTGAGTGCTCATCAGCCAGCAAAATATCACCAGATACATTTTCTGGAGCTGAAAAGATGCATCACTTGTGGAGCACAAATTCACCTATAGTCTTTTTTTTATCTTCACTGTCATCTCAATTCTGGGTCTAAAGCATGGGCTTCAGCCTGATTCTCTTAGGCATGTCATTTAACTTTAAGTGTAAAATGCCAAAGGGATCAGTCCTCCAAAAATAAATGCCCAAGTTTCCATCCAGAGGTGATGGAAGGACGGCAGGATTCCTGTTGATGGCCTCAAGGAGCAGAGCCTCATTGTTCAGCCTCGAACACCCTGCAGTGCTTAGATGAGCACTGATTCCTGCAGACGAGCAGGAATTCCCACCAGCAGCGCTCCCAGCTATTCCACTGGAGAAGGGTAGCTGTATCAGATAGATTTAAAGTGTTTAGGCAAGATCATTGGGTCGTGCCTGAAGTTTACATTATTTTGGTTCCCTCCTACTTCTAAATTCTGTATGGTGATTAGGAACTGATTTTTGCACCATGAGTTGAAGATGGAGTGCAACCTGGCAGAAATTGGGGGTTTTATATAACTTAGAGTTAAGAAGTATTTTGAACAGCACAGCACTGCCTGTAAGATACATTTGGACCCAAATACATATGGATTGTGGTTATTACCTTATTTCAGCTTGAGTATTTAAGGTGTGTGCATTAAAAGGTGTCTCTGCTTTTCAGAAGAAAAGGGTGCTGACCTCTGGGTTTTGTTCTGCAGGGATGTGAAGTTGGACGGAGGACGTCAGTGCCATTCTGCAGGAGTGTGTCTGAAAGAAATAATTGGTCTTGAAGGTGTGGAGCTGGGAGCGGATGGGAAGGTGGGAATGCTTCAGTTCCTCGTCTGCCGATTTTATGTGAGACGGGAAAAACATGATGCAACTGATGACACACAGAAATATGAAAACAAATTGCAGTGTGTAGTGCACAATGTGTAAAAACTATAAATAAAATGAGCACAAATGTAAGAGAACTGTCCGAGCTGTCAGTGCAAAACACTTTGTTTCCTTGAAGAAACCCTCCTCTGACAGCGTCTGAGTCTGTACAGTACTCAGAATCACACAGCATTCCCCTGGCTCTGGCGTATCGCTGCAGAGCTTATTGACAGCAGCTTGAAAATAATTTCTGGTAATGGTTAAAAGCTGTAATTTCGTTTGCTTTCAATTTTATTTAATAAAACACATTTTACTTAACAGTGCATTTGTCCAAAAGTGCAAAAACATGCTAGTACAAACCTGATGAGTATTTCAAAATCTGCAAGTGCATTCATTTGAATAGAAAAAGTAATTATGAATCTTCAGGCAAAATGATTCATTTTAAGCAAATATATAGAAAAGAATTGATTTTATTCATAAATGAAGCCTTTTGGCTGAAAGTCCAATTCATTTTTTACAGCTTATTCATCCAATCTCCTGTCATTTATTTGTTTTAAGATCCTGGGTCTATGCTGCTACGCACTGCATGCTCACCTAACCAAGTGACAGGCCAGACAACAGGCTGTAAATTCTTGAGGACAATCTGCCCACGTTTTTATAAGTTAAAGCTCACACCATCTATTTGATACCTGTTCAGACCTGCTCATAAATCAGTCTTGGGGCTGACACTTTTTTTTTCTTCAATATAAAGCAAATAAAGCAATAAGAAGCAAGGCATAGTCTACTTCATCCAAATGTGCAAGTAGAAAATTGGTGCAACTTTCAAGATAATTTTGTCACAAGTTATTCATGCAAACATAGTCCACGTTGGTAGGTGGCAGATGATCTCCAGCAACCACTGCTGTTGACTAGTACCTCTCATAGGGCACCAGACCTGGTCAAGTCCTGAAGAAGAAAAAGACCAGATAAATGCTCGAGTTCAGGTAGTGCTGAAGACCAAAGACCAAACTGGAATGTTTTAAAGTGTGCTTCTTGCATAGGATTTTATAAATCCAATATATGAGCATTTGTATGTGGTCGCTGTATTGTCTAAAGTATGAATGCATTTGAAAAAAGCTTTTGTGCATGGATGAACTGACTACACTGGAGCAAACATAGGGGATTGCTGCTCAGCTGTGCCTAACCATCAAATATAAAAAAAAAAATCTTTGCTAATTGAGCTTCCCTTGTTTCAAACTGGGAGGCGCCGAATGAATCCTGTTGTGCCCGGGCTGAGCTGGGAGTGACTGCCTGTCCCCTCCGGATTTCTTTCTAGACCGTTTCTTACACGCAGTTCCTGTTCCCAACGAATGCCCTGGGAGCGCGGAGGAACACCATAGACTCCACCTCGTCCTTCTCCCAGTTCCGCAATGCAAGCCACCGCAGCCTGTCCTTGGCCAGAGCTAACAGCACCCAAGGGAGCATCGATGCAGGTAGCTTATGAAGCAGCTCGTTTTCATAGCCTTGCACACCCTTGCCATAGGCAGTCATCGGAAGTTACAGCACCCTTAACCCCTTCTTGTGTTTAAGGCAAGCAGAACATGGTCTCTAGCTGATGTTGTCCATGGTGCAAAGCTTGGGATGCCTTCTGCAATGTTGGCCTGTGCTTTCCGAGCCACGTTGGCTTACGCCTCATGGAAAGTTAATTAAACAAGATGATTGCTGCTCTGCTGTCATCTTGCCAGTCCCTGGCGGCGGTCGACATGCCTCGTGTCCTTGTATCACGGGCATTGCTTGTTCCCATGACGTATGGCTCACCGTTGCCCTGCTTTGCTATGGAAAATATACAGCAGGAACATGGCAATCATAAGCTGAAAGCGTAAACCATGCCCGTGACCTCCCTGAGAGTGGGAAGAGCTTTACAAAACCGGGCACGAAACATCAGCCAAAGCCCTATATACTTAGGATATTCTGGCATATTAATTGCAATAAGTGAAAGGATTTGCATAAGCAGATGAAAACTTCTTTCTGTGCTTAGAAGTCAGGAATACTTTTCCACTCACTTTTCTGTCATCTGGACATGGCAGGATGTATGGAATCACATTAATCTGGCAGACTTACAGCCTGTGACTTGATTGGGGAGTTTTATATGAATTTGTAGTTTTCTAGGTGTACAGTTTTGCAGTTCCAGTTCACAGTTACTAGATAATTCATAAGCTGTAGGATCTGTATATCTTTGCAAATGATTTTATTACAGAAGGAGTTAGAGTTGGCTTAATCAAAATGCTCACACTCTTTCAAAAACCCTGCGTGAAGACCATTTGGTGCATTATCTGTGAGCTTGTTTGCCATGTATGTTAAGTCTAGAAATTTCTTGATGGAATTAATTCCTTTCTTCTACATACAATTGTTTTATAGGTAGTGAACTGGGAGACTATGTTGAATACGACCCAAATCTTCTAGATGATCCCCAATGGCCCTGTGGCAAACATAAGCGGGTTTTAATATTCCCTTCATATATGGTAAGTGATATGCAAACATAGGTGTAGCATAGATTAGTTTGGCTAACAGTGTTTAAAACGTTGAGTTGTATCTGGCTCTATTTTAAGAGGGTTGTTTTTTAATCTAATAATAACAGTTGCTTGGAATACTTTGCTCTAAATGACAGTAACTTACTGGGACATGTAAAAACAAACTCACAGAGGTATTACAAAAGTAAATGCTTTTATTACTGCCCTGTTTCATAAATGTTTTAGATGAAAGGCTTGTTCAAACAATGCATTCATTCTCTTTCATTCAAAGGAAAGTTTTTACTTCCTCTAATTAGCAATCCCTACCAAATGGGAGGACACCCATTAGGGTTTTTCTGAAGTCCTGAAATTGCATTGTGTTTTGGTGCTTATCATTCATCCATCAGAACAGAACTTCAGTGTCTAGCAGAGTCTTTGTCTCCCAAATTATTTGTTTCGCCATGGAACAGTCTTTCCTTTAATTACAGCAATTACTGGCAAAGCCTATATGTTTTCACTGTACCCAGTGCCCATAACTGTACAATACAGACTCATGACTGCTCCTTATGCAAGCCCTAGCTCAGTATGTTGCATGGTGAGGTGTCTGTAGCCTTTTTGAAACTGAATCAAGTCTTTAGAATTCAGCATACTTTTTTGACAGAAATATTGCCAGATGTAGTACACTCGTGTATTATCTACCTGCATTATATATCCAAAGTGATGGTAAGGTAGTTGGGGAAAAGCTAATTGTTTTTTCAAAGTGATGACTCAGTACTTTCATCTATATGCAAATAGGATAGAATTTGAAATACTGATAAAAACAGTTGGTTCAAAACATAATTCATGGCTTCTTTTAAGTCAAGGTAGGCCATGAAGATGCTAGTTAAGGAACTACTAATGGGTATAGAGACACAGCCTGTGTAGCTTATCTTCTGCCCACCACGCGGGTCTTTATTTGGTAATAGTGTTCTTGAGGGCTCCTTCTTCGAAAGAATATGGTTTATGCTCTTTGTGTGGAGTCACATTGGCCATGCTGGCAGGAATTTGGTGCATCTTGCACAGAAAGGCTTCCCTGAGCTCTGTGGCTGCGTGGCGAGGAGATATTCCAGAGTCAAATTGCTTTCAGACAGGTTCACTTGTAGGATTGGCAAGGTGGGATTTTTTGTAGGATTTTTGACCATCAACCCTCAACGTGCCTGCCCTCCGTGGCAGGTAGGTCTGGAGAGCTGAATATTTGCTAGCTTTGGATATGGCTAGTGCTCTAGGCGGGGAACTTGGTTGCTGGCCTCTAAAATGAACCTGGTTTAGCCCTTGCCACTTCCCAGCCTTCTTCGGGCTGCAAATCTGAGTCCTCCAAGATCACCTCAAGTCTTCAATCCCTTTGGAAGGTGGGCATGGAGGTGGACACAGTGGGGAGGGCCAAAACAAGGCAGCTGGGACAGCTCTCTGCAGGGGAGGTCTCCTCCCCAGAGCGGGTGTTTGATGCCCTGACTCGCTTGCTTTGTCCAGCATAAGTCCTCGCTAGTATTTTGAAGGCCACTTTTGGAGTTTCGTTACAGCAAGGGGCTGGCTGGTGGTTTCCATTGTGGCAGAGGTGTGACTGGGTTTTTTTAAGAGGGAAAATGGACTTCAAGGGTAATTAATAAAACCAGTGTTGTTTGTCAAGAACATCTCTTCCAGAAAAGCAGTGAGAGGGTTCTTCCTGCTTTTCCATTTTCTCTAGGTCAACTGTTGTATCTGGGAAAATGCCTTATTTCACACTGTGCTGCTTTTTTGCCCAGCTTGGACTTCCAGACGTCACTACTTAGGGCCCATAGCACTCCCTTCTCTCGCCCTGAAGGCACCCATCTCAAAGGGACACTAATCCCTGGGTTGCTGTTCCGGATGGGAATAACTGGCTCCTGCCAAGAGCTGCCCCGTGCAGGGGTCAAGGCTGCGGCCAGTGCCCACCTGGAAGCAGCCTGGCAGGGATGCAGCATCACGGGAGTCAGGGAGCTCCGCAAGAAACGCAGGGAAGGGGGTTTGTCCTTCCCGGCCTTGCCGAGAAACTGCGGCAGGCACGGATGTGCCCCTCCATGGGAGCGGGGGGAGAAGGGCAGCGTTGCAGGACTCCCGGGTTTACACAGGATGTCGAAACTTGGGCTGCAAGGGAGGCGGGTTTATGCATCGAACTGCTTCGTGGCTACTTGGGAAACTTTTCCTGCATCCGTTTTATCCTTTCCTGATTCCAGTGGTGTTTATCTTCCCTGTGGTCCACATCAGTGCACAGCAGCGGCGAAGCAGGCTGCAAATTCAAGTGATTTTCTTTCTGAAATATAAAAACCAGCCTATGCTGTAAGTAAGGCAAATTGCAGTCCGAGGTCAGGGAAACCTGTGGGTTTGTTTCCCCCGAGCACGCACAGCCGTGTTAGTGTGAACAGACCTGTGTGCAGGGAGCGCCACAGACCTGCGGAGCGCAGCCCGCACCGGCGTGCGCCCGCGTGGCATCAGCTCTATTCCTTCCTCCCCAGCGGGGCAGGAGCAGCTGGGAGCAGCTCCGGGGTCAGCGCTGGACACGCTGTGCGGCGAGAGCTGCCGCTTGTGGTTAGAGTTTCGTCGCTTGGCCGGCATCTCGCATTAGCACTCGGCAGCTGTAAGCTTGGGGGCTCCTTCCTCCCTCCCTCCCTCCCTCTCTCCCTTCCTTCCTTCCTTCCTTCCTTCCTTCCTTCCTTCCTTCCTTCCTTCCTTCCTTCCTTCCTTCCTCCCTCCCTCCCTCCCTCCCTCCCTCCCT